AACGCAGCGCGACACGCGCTTGCGAGTATACGGCAGGACCGGTGCCTGGCATGGCAATGCCGGCGTGACTCGACGAAATGAACGCCAGTGAGCACGCGCACCGCGTCCCGTCGAAATGTATTGGCGCCTTGACTGTATCACGTAGTCATGTTCCGACATGACACGCATCTAATTTAATCACGTTTGCACCAGCCATATACGTTCGTCGTCCATTGACGTCGCGTAATACCGAATTTCACATATGTAAGGCTAGCGAAACGGCCACGAGCGCATGATCAGTGTGCCATGTAGCCATGTTGTTACATGACACACATGCCGTGATTATCATGTTTGTATATGTCATTTACCTATGTCGTCCGTTCGCGTCGCATAATACCGGGTTTTGTACATGGGAAGCTATCGAAACGCCCGCGAGCACATCATGAGCGTAGCATGTAGTCATGTTGTTACATGACGCGCATCTCATATTTATCATGTTTGTACCAGTATCGTGCCTTCGTCATCCATTCACGTTTCGTAATACCAACTGTGGTATAAGTGAACTTAGTGAAACGGCCACCAGCGCATCATGAGCGTGGCAAGTAGTCATGTTGTTACATGACAGACATCTCATCATTATCCTGTTTGCACCGGTCACATACCTTCGTCATCCATTCAAGTACCGTAATACCGAATTTGGTATATGTGACGCTAGCTAAACGCCCGCAAGCGCATCATGAGCTTGGCATGTAGTCATGTTGTTACATGACACGCATGTGATAATTTTCATGCTAGGGTCTGTCGCTTGTGTTCGCCATGCAATCATATCATACCATACCGGTTTTGCAATACCATATGAACGAAACCACTGCAAGAGCTGCAGGACCATGAAATGTAAATCATGACATTCATGACCTACATATCACGATTTTTATGTTATGACAAGTCAAATATGTCCTTCATACGGTCATGTTAGGTCATACCAAGTTTGGTGTCTATACCATTATCCAAATGGCCAGGAGAGCTAAAAGTAGTAGGTGGCTAGATAGATAGATAGATAGATAGATAGATAGATAGATAGATAGATAGATAGATAGATAGATAGATAGATAGATAGATAGATAGATAGATAGATAGATAGATAGATAGATAGATAGATAGATAGATAGACTCTAAAAATATCGAGCAAAAAAGGTGTCTTTTTGTACCACAACAATAATCGTCATCAGGCTTGCGTACGCTTCCTTTCTTGAAAACTCGGTGCTGGCCACTTTCCTATCGAGAATGCAATGTAACCCTGAAAATGGGCATGTCGATCGTGACCGGAATGTATTGGGCGCGGGGCGATAAGCGCAAGGATGGAACGCAATATAGATGACGATTATTGTTGTGGGACAAAAAGGCCCCCTTTTTACTCGCTCTTTCTTTTTAGAGTGTAGACGCAAAGCCACCGAAGTTCGCTAATACCCCTGTCGCACGGGCACTTAAAAGTCTTTTAAGTAAGCGGTCTTTTTCCGAAAAGGAGTTTCTGACAGCAGACACACGGCACAGAGCGAACTCCTTTTCAGAAGCGGTCTTTTTCGTAAACTGAGTTCGTCGATCTCTTTTACGGCTCCGAATGAGTAGCCTCGAAACCAGTGGGCGCCAGCAATTTTCGAGTGGTCAAAAAAAAAGAGCGAATGCTTATTTTTCTGTCACCAAAGCTCTTTGTAAAAACAAATTTCATATCCTGCAGAAGGTGTATTGAACTCTTTTAATGGTTATTTCCTTTTCTACTCTCGTAAGCAGCTACAACGCGTCGGCGATATCACGTGGTGACGCTCGGTCTTGCGCTGCTTTATCCTCTCCTTGGCGGCTTTTGCAGCGTCTGCCTCGCTTTCCAGAGCGAGAAGGCAGGCCGTGAGGCTTGCGATCCTCGCTTTTTCTCCCGTACGGTCGCCCATAACGTGTCGAGAGCAGTCGAGAGCAGCAAAAAACAAATACGGTAAATAAAAGCACAGTGGTGCCAGACGGACTTGTGCACGTCGCTAGTTATGGGAATGCTTTCTTATCTAGTGCAAAAAAAAAAAAAAACATTCACATTGGTGTTTCTTCATCTCTTATTCTTAAATTTATTTAAAGAAACGAGCAGTGCAACAAGTCTTTAATTTGTACATCGTGATACATCGTTTAATTTTTATTGCTTCTCTTGTTAACTGCTAGCGCCACGCTTTCGCTAGCGTCTTCGAACGAAAACACTAAAAGGAGATTGTTGCTGCCGTGTGTCTGCGCCGCAAACACCTCTTTGTTAAAAGTCTTTCAACTTCGTAAAAGACCGCTTACTTAAAAGACTTTTTGCACGCCCGTGTGACACAGGTATAAGAAAGGCTGCGCATTTAAAAGTCATGTATTTAGAGTGCAGACCAGGCAGCAACAAATACACGATCACAGTTCTTTACAGCCCCCGCATAACATCGCAGCACGCGTCATTTGTGTACAGCAAAGATGGGCTTGGCTAATTACTTATATTCTAAAGCAGCAAAACATTATGTACCTGGCTACGTAGGGTACTGTACCGTCCATGTAAGTTATTCTTATACTGCGGAAGTCGCGGTGGCGTTCAAAGCCTGACTCGATTGAAAGCATCTAATTCAATGCAGAAATTCGTACTGGAGTAACTAAATCCTCGCGCAGACGCGAAGTAAACGAACGGCAACCGCAGACTCACACCTTTCCCTGTCCTCACTTTATTCACCTCACGTACTCCTTTCTCGACTCGTTCTTTTACTATAAATAATGCTTCGAAACGAAGGGAAACCTCCCCTGTCCCTCCGAAAAGTATTGGGCGCGGGGCGATAAGCGCAAGGATGGAACGCAATATAGATGACGATTATTGTTGTGGGACAAAAAGGCCCCCTTTTTACTCGCTCTTTCTTTTTAGAGTGTAGACGCAAAGCCACCGAAGTTCGCTAATACCCCTGTCGCACGGGCACTTAAAAGTCTTTTAAGTAAGCGGTCTTTTTCCGAAAAGGAGTTTCTGACAGCAGACACACGGCACAGAGCGAACTCCTTTTCAGAAGCGGTCTTTTTCGTAAACTGAGTTCGTCGATCTCTTTTACGGCTCCGAATGAGTAGCCTCGAAACCAGTGGGCGCCAGCAATTTCGAGTGGTCAAAAAAAAAGAGCGAATGCTTATTTTTCTGTCACCAAAGCTCTTTGTAAAAACAAATTTCATATCCTGCAGAAGGTGTATTGAACTCTTTTAATGGTTATTTCCTTTTCTACTCTCGTAAGCAGCTACAACGCGTCGGCGATATCACGTGGTGACGCTCGGTCTTGCGCTGCTTTATCCTCTCCTTGGCGGCTTTTGCAGCGTCTGCCTCGCTTTCCAGAGCGAGAAGGCAGGCCGTGAGGCTTGCGATCCTCGCTTTTTCTCCCGTACGGTCGCCCATAACGTGTCGAGAGCAGTCGAGAGCAGCAAAAAACAAATACGGTAATAAAAGCACAGTGGTGCCAGACGGACTTGTGCACGTCGCTAGTTATGGGAATGCTTTCTTATCTAGTGCAAAAAAAAAAAAACATTCACATTGGTGTTTCTTCATCTCTTATTCTTAAATTTATTTAAAGAAACGAGCAGTGCAACAAGTCTTTAATTTGTACATCGTGATACATCGTTTAATTTTTATTGCTTCTCTTGTTAACTGCTAGCGCCACGCTTTCGCTAGCGTCTTCGAACGAAAACACTAAAAGGAGATTGTTGCTGCCGTGTGTCTGCGCCGCAAACACCTCTTTGTTAAAAGTCTTTCAACTTCGTAAAAGACCGCTTACTTAAAAGACTTTTTGCACGCCCGTGTGACACAGGTATAAGAAAGGCTGCGCATTTAAAAGTCATGTATTTAGAGTGCAGACCAGGCAGCAACAAATACACGATCACAGTTCTTTACAGCCCCCGCATAACATCGCAGCACGCGTCATTTGTGTACAGCAAAGATGGGCTTGGCTAATTACTTATATTCTAAAGCAGCAAAACATTATGTACCTGGCTACGTAGGGTACTGTACCGTCCATGTAAGTTATTCTTATACTGCGGAAGTCGCGGTGGCGTTCAAAGCCTGACTCGATTGAAAGCATCTAATTCAATGCAGAAATTCGTACTGGAGTAACTAAATCCTCGCGCAGACGCGAAGTAAACGAACGGCAACCGCAGACTCACACCTTTCCCTGTCCTCACTTTATTCACCTCACGTACTCCTTTCTCGACTCGTTCTTTTACTATAAATAATGCTTCGAAACGAAGGGAAACCTCCCCTGTCCCTCCGAAAAGTATTAAATAACGAGGAGCAGTGGAAGGCTGCCATGCGCAGCCTAAAACCTGACGTGCAGGAGACCATACTGGCTTGAGATGAGCGAGTTTTGGTGGACTACCATGCGTAGCAACTCGTCGCCTCCCTTTTTTTTTTCTCTATTTGCTCATTGTCATTGAAAAGGGGAAGTAAAGTTTTTTACATATCTGGACTGGTGCACATGTTCATTTTGAGCGTACGTGCACTATTGAGCGTACGTGCACATGTTCACAGCCTAAAGCTACAGTCACACAAGGAATAGACACGTAAAAAGGAGATCTGCGGCAATGTAATTGACACGAACTATTGATTATGAACAACTATCAAACGCTAACTTGAACTATCACAAAATGTCTCTCACAAGAAAAGCATATGACAAACTCGTCAGCATCCTACAGCTCACTGACTGAACCCATAAGAAGCACGAGTTCTGGATTGTTGTCCATTTTCAGAAACATGAAGGGGTGTCCACTATGAATCGTGTTTTGCGAGAGACCAGGCAGCATTCCTCCGAAATCTCGGCCGTCACCGCCACTGCTTCCGTGCCTTTTTCGTTAACCTCGAAGTCACCTAGATTCTTGAAATACCAAGATTACCTTGCCTATATACCAGCGACGCCTCGTTACAGTATGCACAGCATTATTAATGTCTGCCGTAGAATGGACCTTCTGGGTGGGAGCCAACAGAAATAATCCACATATGAAAACCCGCATAGCTCGTTTATTTCGACTAAATAGTTTAGGACACAATAGTAACAACAAGTGAATACATTGAGCGGGGAATATAAAGACAGCATAGATTACTGGACCCTTCTTTGCATATTATGTGCTTGACTAGTCTTTCAGTCTCTACTTTCACTGCTTAGAGCTGGCGGACGGACCCCATAAACAGCACTACGTCTGGATCGTGGCTGCGTATTAGGAACAGGAACGGGTGGTCGACAACAAATCGAGTGTCGTCTATTCGTGCGCAATATGTCATCAACGTTACGGCAGTAGCCGCTGCAGCTTCGGTTCCTTCCTCATTCACCTCCACAAATGCCTTGTGGAATACCTCCGAGGCCATCAGTTTCCCAGTGGCGTTGATTCCGGTAAGGTCCGCTTTCGGCGTGAAGAAGTCTTCGATTCCCATGACAGTCAGCGTTCCCTTGAGGTCGAGCGTCTGCTCTAGCTTGAACTTCGGAAGGTACAGCTTGACGTCCGAAATAATACGAAGGTTCTCGATGAAGACTGAAAGCTTCTGACTGGTCAGACGGTCTTCAACTTGAGACAGTCCTTCGACGTCGTTGGGTAGAAGGATGAGCATGGAAGTTTTTCCGCCTCGGTACGGTATCTCCAATGCGGTGACGCCGAGTTCTTCGCTACGACCCATTTTGTAATCATTCTTTTGGTACATCATGTCGATTTCCTTCTTGTTGTTCTTGTCCAACAGAAAGTTGGAACGATGCGTAGACTTGGGGTCGAACTGTGAGTTCCAGAGGCCCTTGAAGTAGATGGCGTTAACTAAGATCAAGGTTGTCATGTCGTCAATGCTTCCAGATGGAAGCAGGTCTCTGATCTTGGATTGCGTGGCTTGCTCGACCCAGGCGTTGACCTGCTGCCTAACTTTCTCACAGTGTGTCTTAAAGTCGACTGATTCAATCGTGGTGTCGTAAGAGTCACGAAGAAGGGCGAGGTAGGTGTCCAGGACCGGAAATGTCTGTTCAGAGTACATCCGGTTGGCCACGTGCAGCTTCACGTCCGGTGCAAAGCTGGAGAGCTTGGACATAAAGCTGGCAAAATGCTTGTGGACTTCCTCGCTGTTCACGTGAAGAACATCGGCGATCTGCTTGGCAGTGGCGTTGCGCGCTCCTGCCAGGGCCATGGAAAGAGCAGCGGCGATGCTGAAGGGAGAATAGAAGATGTTTTCGCAAGAGGAACTTTTTGAGCTGAGCTGTTTGTACAAATCGAGGGAGAATTGGAGCAGCGAATCTCCCAAGGGGTTGGGTGTCGTTTTCTCGGACATCTGCAGGAAAAGTGAATCCAGATTGTAATATTTACAAGAGTAAGCGATAACATACTCGCGGCTTTAAATATGCGAAGAAATTCAACACAATGCACTCAAGTAACAATCGAGCTCGTGAGAAAATCGAAAACTTAAGCTATGACATGTGTCATATTGAACTACTCCCATCATAATGCAATGAAAAAATGCATTGCTTTAGGTGAGAATCCTATAGGAATGCCAAAGTTTTCAACCGCTTGGAAAGTTTCACACTACAGGACAATGCGGGTATCGCAAATACTCAAGTATGTGTGTCTTTGGTGCGCATGTCGCGTTAGGTAGTGCATATGCAAGATGATAACGTAAAGGTCAGAGTTTCTCTTGGTGGCTACCTTCCTCATAATCAACTATACTTTACGACCCCATTCACCGATAAAAACTTCAGGTTGGCTCCATGGCTGTTTTCTGACTACCTTGACCTTCTATTTCCTGCACATTTTGTGCGCAATTGTTCTTACTATTTGCAAATATACATTAGCAAGTGAGCCTAAAGTCTTTCCATGTTTTTCAGTCGTGTTGGCCCGTACGCGCTACGGAACACTACGTTACAGTTGGAAATGAAACCTACTGCACACTAGGAAATACGTTAACTTATACAACAGTGGGCCATACTTCTTGAAGGCAAACAAGTGGCAGCGTGAACTACGCGCTTTAAATCGCGTTTTGGGAACGACTTAGCGAGCGCACAATAGAAGAGGACTTAAGGAAAGAAGACAAATGGACGCGAATTCGCAACTAAGTCTATTTATGAAAAGGAAGTACACATATGTAAGCCTGGACCAGTTCTAGAGCTCATGTGCGAGAACAAAAAGAAAAAAAAAGAAAGGCACATATCGTGACAATTTGCAAACGAGATATCTAGAACAATCAGGATAAAGTAACAGTCAAGTTGCATATCTGTCTTATTTAAGTCCTCTTCTATTGTGTGTGCGCGCTGAATTGTTCCCATAATGCATTCATACCAACTCGCCCAACACACTATACATTTACATTGTGTTTTAAATTACCTTCACCCTCTCAGCCGATTACATTGTTTTTTTCCCTCCCCTTCCTCCTCAGTTTTTTTTTTTTTCAGTTCACGTAGTGTTGCGCCAGCTCCAGGATCGTCCCAACTATCAGTGAGCAACGATGTCAGGCCATGACATCATCGCGTTGCTAATTTCAGTGCACGTCATTGCGACGTCCCGACATGACGTCATTCGTGACGTGGCTCACGTAGATTGTCTTCGTCCATTCGCCAGCCGTGTTTCGCCGAAGGGACTGTTTAATGACACTCAAGGCTTCCACCTTAAGGCATCATTGAAACAGCGATGTGGACGTCACTTATGGGCTTCGTGAATGAAACCAAATAGTGGCTCGTCACCCTTAGTCGATCACGATATAGCCGATTCTTTTTTTTTTTTTTTGTTGACTAACGTTTTCTTCGAGACAGCGTTTCACTTGAAAATTGCCTGAGAAACCAACTCATTCACTGGTGGCTTATGTATTTCCTGTAACAACTACCTCTTGGCATCGAGACTATATGGCATTCGTATTTAATGTACTCTCTGCATATTCATGTATATATTTGCATCAAAGCGTACATATGTCCTTGGGTGGCAGGCGAATGTAGTAACAGCGCACGGAATTTCACAACGCCTCAACCGAATGATCCTGTGTGGTTTATATAGCTCGGCTATCGTGTCAGCGTTGCTCTGTGCAAATAAGCAAACTATGTGGGTTACGTTAATGAACGATTGTCGACATGAAGCTAACACGAACTCTTTGAGCAAACAGAAAAAGTTAATCACTGTGCATGAATGCGGGAATGCGGGAATTAAAAACACTGGGTGGACGCTGAAACCAATGCACAATAAATATGAAATAATGAGAGCAATACTACCATAGAAACGCTGAAGATGTGTAAAAGTTGTCGAGGTTTCAACCGGATGCGAAACAGAAAGCACGAGGCTTTAGCACGGCTTTCGTTTTCAGCTCAGCTTCACTTGCTTTCAGCGCGCTCGATGTTCGGATACCTTATTTTCAGCGCGCTTAGCGCTCCCTGATGGGGTTCTGGAGCAACACATTCGAATCTGCTGTGTGATGTCGAAAGGCGGCGCTTGCTTCCTCCGACCCAAGGTACGAGGAAATGATTTCGCAAAACAATAATCTCCTTCCCGTTACCCTTAAAGGAGCCGGTCTTACTCAGTATGCTGAGAACTTCTATGCGAACTGAAGTACTGCCATGCCCAGCGAGCTTTTAGCACGAGTGCACGCGAATTTCGCGAACAATTTAAAGCAACGTAATTCCACTTTCGTGATTGGTGTGATAACAGAAATATCGACAAACGACCGCATTCAGGCGCCACAAAAATAGCTCGTTTCAAACCCACGACTTCTTGTTTACATTAGCATGCAGCTCTCAAGTAGAGCGTCACATTAGCTTAGACATTTATACGGGTGTACGAGAGAATTAGGCGGGCTTGTTGGCGGACCTTTCTGGTCCACACCTTGACCTTATAGGTGAAAGCTCCAATCACGCACTCTGCAGCTTGCTAAACCCGCAAGTGACGACGATCTTACGACACCCGCATCGACATAATCAGAGCCTGAGTCAGGCAAAACATTGGGCGCAGTCTTACGAACACGAATTCCAGAGCCAGCCTACACGCGTACTTACGCTCCGCTTCAGCGGAGCGTGGGCCAAACAATAGCGCCTGTGATAGCACAAAAGGCAGCGTGAGTCATTGTCTACTTGTTTCAAAACGAATACAGGTGCGTGCGTGAAGACACGCAAGCGAGCTGAAAGCTGAGCCGTTTTTCGTAAGAAGGCGTGGTTGAATAGTGTGCAGACGCTGCAGCTTATCATAAGCAACGAAAGAATTCCACGCCTCCCGCCGTATCCGACGCCCTTTCTTGACAGAGCGAAAATGGTAATTGCTGGAGGCATTATTAATCGAACAAGAACTACCGTACTTCTAGAGCGCACATACCGCCTGCCAGCAGGTGCTACCGTGAGCACATTGCAGCAATGCCACTAAGATTGCAAACGCGTATGCAAACAGCCTGCTCAGACGCTAACTTGATTATGCCCCACAAGGCTGCGTAAGCTTGACAGTATGATGACGAACCCCCGTTTTATGTTTCCTATTAAGTGGCCAATTTATATGGGCGCTTCGAAACGGACAGTTGACTGTTTGATAGGCGGTACAAAACATACTCGAGATAACACACATCGTTGTGATACAATGGCACGCTGTGAAAAACAACTCCAGTGATCCGACGATTGAAGCCCTCTTGTGCTTTTTACGAGTATAAACAAAGGCATTGAGCAGCCGTCATAAATAAATGTTACACCTGTAGTGCAGTTCGTATTTCCTCAGGGTTCATAGCATGCATAGTTCGAGAAGACTAGCTAAAACTGCTATGCCCCGAAAACCGATCGAAACGGCGGAATCCGTTGTTTACGAAAGCACTCTTCAAAAAAAAAAAAAAAAAGCTTTTCGGTGGGTGCTGGAAAATGTCGGTGAATTCAGTAAAAATATATTCTAATGATGTTCTCATGCAGCGTCTACTTAGAGACTCGTAAGCAACGGATTCTGTCGTTTCGATAGTTCTTAACCCAAGTGAGTTTGCAGGCTCACAGTCTTGGTGTTACACTGAGGAATATGACGGAAGCGCGTGCCAGTCAATATAATCGATATTCAGAAATATACACAGACGTAATCAAAACAAACACGTATTGATGTTCAGAAATAACAACAGACGTAATCAAAACAAACACGCACCTTGCCTCGCTGCCTTCGAAGTCAGTGCAGTTGTGTTCCGTCTCGACAAACTTGACAACTTTGACGAGCGGTCTTGAAGTCGTTGACTGGCTTTTGTCAACGTTGCACTCCGATCATACGAAAACGCACAGCGAGACACGTATCGATTGGGAAGAACACAGCACCGACTTTTACACACCCTTATCTGGCTCGTCTATGTGACGGCACGAATGTGGCAGATAACACGGGGCCGCAATCAAGTCGATCACTGAACTGTTGAAGTGTTGCTGAAACTGTTGAAGTATTGTTGAGAGCGGAAGAGCGATAGGACGCCGGTGTAGACAGGCGGCGAAGGCCGGGCGGTCGCGTTCCGGTTGCAACACGCGTGGAGAAAATGTGGAAATGGGTCACCGCCCCTCAGGGAACAATGGTACCTAGGAGCTGTCCCTAAATTCTGTCCTTAGATTTCCCTGCGCATTCCGGATTCAGCGTTCATTGCTGTTCCCCGACGAAATTTCTCCAAAGATGAAATTTTCTCTTAAAACTCATTTATTTATTTATTTATTTATTTATTTATTTATTTCAAGGTAGTGCAGGGTCTAGCGGGAGGGAGCAGTACACGTAAACAAAGATGAGAATATCTTGGCACGTGCAAGCATGCATTTGTCAAGTGCTCAGACAATGCGATATTATGTAGTACATCACGAAAAAGATTGCTCATCAACGAGAATAATTTGTGAGGTTTTAAGTGCTGAAACCACACTGAGATGATTACGAGACACGGTGCAGCGGAGGGCCGACGCATAGCCACGGGGTGGTACACCGGACCGTGTACCACACCCATGCGTACTTAAATTATCTACAGTCAGGGGTATAATACGCACGGGGTTAATATAAGGCCTCCGAAGTTCTAGCCCAATCGTCTAACCGCGCGGCCCGTTTTCGGAGTGTGGCTGGCGCAAGCTGCTGGCGGAATTTATTGCAAAGCTAGCGCGTTTCTCTTATGCACTGAGACGTGCTTATCGGCATTCAGGCGTCAGTAATGAAGGTTCTTTAGATCGATGGATTCGCCATATAAGTGACTTGGCGTGGATGCGGCCTTGGAAGATATATCAGTAGCTCACGAAAACACAAGGAGGAATTTGCGGAACACCTCTGTTCTGCGGAATTCACATTGAGAAACATTGTTTGATAGTTTTACAATGTGGAGAAAATTATGCCGTGTCTTCGAGCTGCTGAAGTGATCACTCAACTTTTCTTGCGGCAGCGGCCTCCTCCTGCAGAGAATATAAGCTGACTGTTTCGATTCAAGACTTACACGTAACTTCTAATACATATAAGACACGAATACATTATATGTTTTCTTGCATGTGGAATAAACGGGTTTGAATTTGGCGCTTGTGTCTTCGTGTTTGTCTTTTGTATCCTTGTCTTATGCGCTACCCATTTAAAGTATGCATCTTTACTATGGCTCGTAAAACTTGTGGATTTCACTAATACTTACTCATGAAACATATTTCGAGCTTCGAACTCGCTTGAACTCAGACTCACCAAATTTTTCCTCAGGCGGGCTAGCTCGTACTCACACTCACAAAATATTTCTTCAACCAGCGACTCACTTGAACTCAAACTCACCGAACCAATATTCACCCAGAGTCTCTCCGACTCAAACTCACGGCTCGATCCGAGTCTGAGTGAGTTAGCCTACTATTGAGTTCATTAGCTTGTAACTTGCTTTAACACCAATGTTTAACGTCATCGGTGCCCTTCTTCGTGTCATTTCAGATAGTACTTTCGAATACGAGTTGTAAATGCTCGCAAACCAATAGGCTCAATTTTCTTGGAAAAGATTACAACATTAGATATTGTCATTGATAACTTCTCTGGAAGAGTCGGCGGGGGGAGGTCAATGCACCCTCCTGAGTAATTCGCGCCTCTGATGAATAAATATTGAAATGGTATATGAACGTCACTGCTTTGGAATAAGCGCGAGTAGACGAGAGTGTAAATGTAATTCCAGGTAAGCCTGTTAGTAACGATGATGAGGACTAGATAAGAGTCTTTACCAACATACACGAAATTGTCGCACTAATGAGACACACCTGTTGCTGCCGCAAAAAAATAAAATAAAGCCAGACCTGCGTGGAAAGCGTAGCACAGCCGCAGCGGGAGCCAGAGGAGCATAGGTAAACTATCTCTGGGCTGCTAATACAAGTGCACTTGCAAGGCAACCATCAAGCCATAAATCACAATTTTTTGTCGAGTTGGCAAACATCTATTACACAATTATCCCGAAGAGATGCGAGGAACCAGCTACACAGCTGCAAAGCAGCACGTACACTTGTTCTTCTACTTCCCTGATGACTCATACCAAATGCATTGAATTGGCCACTTTGTTGATGCGATGGCTGACGACGATGACGAATTATGGCTGAGACATTCGTAATGGGTTGAAAGCCTTGAATGACTAGATAGAGGCTCTCGCTTGATACAGGAACGGACAACTGTGGCGCCGCCAAAATCAGCCCTTTGCGATCTCATGACAGGTATCGCCACAAAAGTAACCATGTCCGACTCGGCAACATCTACGCGTGCAGGAATTTTATCATCTGTTAAAGGAACCGCAAATGTCCGCGTAACATTATGTGAGCACGATATATGTAATCTTTGCTTATAATATGCCAGTAAATTTAACGACAAGGTATGTGACCAGAACAGCTATTTGTAAACTGTTTGATGTGTTACAATTCCTCCATTAATACAGACAGACCCTAATTGACATGAAAGGAACTCGGAGCACCATATAATAATTGCGTGAAAACATTTATATTGTGCCCCTGTCCAAGCCCTCCCATAGTGCTCTCAGCAGTTCATAAATAAGACGACGAGCACTGATGATCTGCGCATCTCTCAAGAGACAGTTATTCCGAGTGATCCAAATGTAGTGTACATTGGCCTTGCCGTAAATATTAGGGGTGTGCGAATATTCCAAACCCCGTATGTTTAATAGGAAAAGTTCGGTATTAGCCCTGAGAACAAACACTGGCGTCGCTGCAGTCGCGGCGAAGTGACGTCACGGCACGGACTCTCCTGCTCCGCCGCCGACGGTCGCTTCCTTCCGAGCCCACCGTGTACCCACTCTTCAGCGATGCGGTGGTGATTTCTTCTTGATTTCGAGTAGTAGAATACCAAAGGTACAAAGGAAAGGTACTTATTGCTGTTAAAAGTTGACTAAGCTGCAGAAAGTATGGATCCACTTTGAAAATGAAGGTGCAGGAAAGCGATACATTAGTTGTCTTCACCAAGCACGTACTCGACGAAATCAATGGTAAGAAAATGTTCGTGCTAAATAGGTTTGATTTCGTTACAACTTCACATAGGCTACGCGATTAAAAATTTGTGTCAAAGTATTACAAGTAAAATTAGGATGTTGTCAGTATACTCACAGCATTGCGATTTACCGTGCAAGTTATGTCTGCCTCTCTCTGCAAATAATGTAGCTCATTAGACAGAATTCCACTTTGGAATGCAGGAGACTTTTGATGGATCTGTCTTTCATACGCAATCACTTATAATAGTGAGAAAAGAAGAGCAACGCAGCAAACCACAGAATGGTTTCCGGAACTCTGAGATGTCGATATACTCGCATCTCATGTACAGTTTTTTTCTCGACAGTCGTCAGGATTATGCAGTCGCATACCCTGATTTACGCGAACAGCTGACTCGATAAACCGCCACTTAATAAACGGCCATGTTCGCTTCACGTAGGAGCACTGCTGATATGAATCATAAAACAAACGCCAGAAGGTCGAAATGAACTGTTTTGATGGCGCACGCTGCTCCGTGGGCCACGTAAAAATGAAACGTCCTTTGCCTCAGTGAAGCAACGATGGTCTCGCACACCATATTCATATACAGATTGATGCTATCCTGGAGGGATCGACCGTGAAAAAAAGTTATTCATTTGGTGGCTATCTAAACAGGTATGTAAACAGCGTGACAGCACAGTTGCTAGAATGTTGCACGTAGACACTATCTGAAATCAGTATCATTTTCTGCAATTAACCTCCACTTCATTTTATAGAGTGAAAGGGAGCGCCAAAATTAATCTTTCCCAAAACATGAAGCTAAATAACGTGATTAAATATTACCAACTACACACAATAAAATTTAACGCGTGGCCGTATACTCGGGAGAGCGAACAAACAAAAAGAAAAGGTCTGCCAGCAGTTACTTCAATACGTCCGATACAGATATCAGTTGTGGAACCAAAACATTCAAATCTTTTTAAAGGAATCGCCCATGAACAACGCAACCTGAAATGCAAGCACGCTGTCGTGCACATTTCAGAAGCGCGACATGATTGCGAGACCCGCTGCAGAGTAATTGTGGTCACCTTGCATTTTTTATTCTGCTGCAGATGAATTGTCTTGCTGTTCACCCTTATCGGAGTGCAGCTACCGTGGCCGAAAATTCAACCCATCTTCGAAGTTAGCAGCGTGACACCATAACAAACCTCATCAAAGCGTGTATACGCTGGAGCACAGGCACCATTGGCGATTCTACTGAAAAAAAAAATGTTTAGTTTTTCATTGTTTTACCAGGAACATCATCGATGCTGCCTCCGTCATTTATTTTAAGCGTGAGGGAAGTAAAAAGTGAACGCTGACAGCGCAATGGCGTTCGAAGCGAGTTTGTGTTATGTATACGCGCGCCACAGCAAGATTCGAAGAGTCCGTGCCGTGACGTCATGCAAGCCTCCCACCAGGCGGCGCCACTCCGACTTCTCGGTGCTAATAAGATTCCATTCGGAAGGCGTATTTTTTTAGTCGATATATTCAAACTCCTCAAAACTTGAAGTAGCTCCACCACGGTGGACTAGTGGCTCAGGTACTCGCCTGCTGACCCGCAGGTCGCGAGATCGAATCCCAGCTGCGGCGGCTGCATTTCCGACGGAGGCGGAAATGTTGTAGGCCCGTGTGCTCAGATTTGGGTGCACGTTAAAGAACCCCAGGTGGTCAAAATTTCCAGAGTCCTCCACTACAGCGTCTCTCATCATACGGTGGATTTGGGACGTTAAACTTCACATATTAACCAATCAAACTTTGAAGAACTGAAATGGGCACGATTAATTATCTACCCATGCTAAGTTAAAAAAAATATGGACCAATAAATGAAGTAGAGTTGCCGCATCCCCGCCTGTCCTTTGCAAACGTGTCGGCTTTTAAGCGTGGCGACCAGTCTCGGACGTTCCTGCAATACAGCGCGAAAATAATACTCAGACTAACCACCTAAAGAAGTGTGGGGAATCATTGCAAAAAGAAATGTCTAAAAATAAGAAACTCCAGCTGTATTGTGGGTTATTTTTTTTAATGTGAGGCACTGAGAATTA